TTGTTTCATTGCCCAATTCAAGAAATTCTTCTTCTCTTTCAGGTAGACAAGGGAAGTAGTGAGAGCCCAGATCCATGTTGGATAATTACAGCAAGCTGGCAGTAGGATTAAGGTGAGTTGCCAGTGTGGGACTTTCAAATCCTCAGAAATTCAGATTGAATCTGGTTTCTAGTTAAGGGGTTTGGATACAAGCTGTTTATCTTGTAACACTGTGGGTATCCCTTGCTGGCCTGACCACAGCTCTCTGACTTAGATGCCTCCTATGGCTGTACACCACCCAATTACTATGGAACTTTCACACTGGGAGTCCTGTGATGAAGCCAATCTCAGCTGCTTTGAATCTCAGTTTCAGTTGGCTTGTCCTTAAAAGTGCCTCCAACCAGACACTTTTTCTAGGGAATATGGCAGTTGATTGGACTGGGGTCACTCATCAACTGTTACAGTGCATAGCATTCACAGCTCTAGTGCATTTTTCCCTGAAGACCTCTGGAGTCACTCATTTTTACTGTTTATCAATCTTTATTTTTTTGCCACAAGCCAGAAGCCAGGGAAAAAGTGCAGACTGCCCTTTCCTTTTACTGCATCACGTTCTGACTATTCAATTTCTCTGTAGGCTCCAATTTTCACTTCATACTCTTCCTGGGTCCCAGGGATCTACCTCCCTCCTTCATTTCTTCCCCAAGTTGTCATTTTCCAGTGTCTGGATTCCAAGTCTTAGAGAGGTTGATTTATTACTGCTTACTGCTCTTTCCAGAAGAATTATTAAGCAGAGTATTTGTAAAATTTCCAAATGTTTGGACTTAATTTTTAAGTTTATTTTTTCAGTTTTGTTACATAGTGATAACAGAATATAACATATTAGATTTCTAGTATATGTGCTGCTGAAGCAAACACATAACATATTAGATTTCTATACCTTGGAACTTTCAGAGTTTTCTCTGAAAATTTATTTTTAAAATAAATTTATCAGAGCTGAGGAGATGGCTCAGTGGAATAAGCACTTTCCAAGCAAGCACAAGGGCCTGAGTTCAATCCCCGGTTCCACCAAAAACAAACAAACAAACAAAAAAAGCCACTTAAAATAAATTTATCTTTTATTTATTTTTATATCATATTTTTCATGTTACCACATTATTATAAT